TTAAAGATCTAGATGCCTCTATAAAATCACTGAACTAAGCAGTTTCCCATATTCCATTAGAGGAAATAAATTCAAATTCTTCCAGAGGATAAGACATAATTATAGTAAAGTGCAAATACTTTTGGAGAGCTGTGTTTATTCTTCATCACTGTTGCCGAAAGGGTAATTGGGGTATCTACTATATGCATGGGACTATTCTAAGTGTTACATTTTTTTTTTTTCTGAGCCTACTCAGCTTTGGGGCTCTGCATAAGTTACACTTCTGTATTTTGTACCTTACTAATAGTTTGTTCACTAGAATGAAGTCAGGGTTTGTAGAGTTGGCCACTAACTTAAGATTGAAGTTATATAGGATAAAAAAATATAATAATTTTCTGCCCTTTCTGGAAGAAAACTTTTGGAACACCTTTACTTAGAGCATTCTGGCATCAAAATAAAAAAAATAAAATAACTGTAATTATATAGTTTCCATATTTCTTAAATTCCCCTGCTCTGCTTTGGAATCATCCAGATGTTCTCTGGGTTAGTATTTTTGTTCCATTTAATTACATTGAATTATTTTCTGAAATTAAAAGGGGTTGCTTATTTAATTCTCTAGTGCTGCCTCCTTTTGTTGACTGCTGGCAATTTTAAATTAAAATAATTATTCTTCATAATTCCCATACTTAGGGAGTTTAGCATTGTCTGTATCTTCCCCCAGGCTGAACTAAAGAGCATAGCTTTTTGTAATGTAGTACATTTTGCCTGAGATTACTTTTCTTAAAACAAGACAGTTGATTTTCCTTCAGGTCATTGTTTGAAAAAATAGACTTAAGTATATCTGCCAAAGCTTTGCCTGTATTTTCAACTGATTTTTTTATAGAGGTGACATATATCAGAAAGATCTCCTTTCCACTGTAGGAGCTTTGTCAATCTTTAGACTTATCATATCTTCATCCTAGTTTGTAGTACAAACTTGGTTTTCCTTAATTTTCTTCTCTTCCAGAAAAAAAAGAACATGGCCTTTTTAAAATTCAATTTCCACCTTTGTGATCAGACAAAAGAAATTTAATTATATTTCTAGCTCTTGCAATGTCAATTTCTCATCAACAACTTTTGCTATCAAATAGAAACTCTGTCTTATTCTCTGACCTCCTGTCCTTTTCCACCTGTAGTTTCCATTAATGTCAGCACTTGGGCTCTTTCCTTCTTCTGTCATGGCTTCGCTTGCATACATTTGTCATACAACATTTTAGGAATTACTTAGTGTCATCTTGTAGACAGTCTCTCACATTCTTTTTTTTTAATGTTTCTATTTATTTCTGAGAGAGAGAGAGAGAGACAGCGTGGGCAGGGGAGGGTAAGAGAGAGAGAGGGAGTCACAGACTCTGAAACAGGCTCCAGGCTCTGAGCTGGGAGTCAGCACAGAGCTCGACGCGGGGCTCGAACCCACGAACCACGAGATCATGACCTGAGCTGAAGTCGGACGGTCAACCCACTGAGCGCCATCTCACATTCTTTTTTCTCTTTTATTTACCTGTGGTGGAGGTTGGACTGCTTCCCACCCCCCCACCCCCCAGCACCTATCTATTCTAGGATAGATAGATAGGTGACACCATCCTACAATCCAACAACAGACTTCTGAATGCTTCTGTTCGTATCTGTCACTTTTTGCAATTACAACTCTATTGAGTGAAAGAGACAAGGTGGTCAGAAAAGTAGAAAGTAATCTTGAAGACTATCATGGCACAATAAAACAAAGAGAGTGGGGTTTAAAGAAAATGGTAAACAACTACAGAATCAAATGCTAAAGAAAGTTTTGGTAATTATGAGTCATTGGTACACAAAGCAATTTTAGTACAGTGTGGTAGAGAGTATTCTTTTTCTGTTTAAAAAAATTTTCAAGTTTATTTATTTATTTTGGGGGGGACAAGCAGGAGAGGGCCAGGAGAGATGGAGAGAAAGAGAATTCCAAGCATGCACCACCCCATCATCAAGGAGCCTGATGTGGGGCTTGAACCCACAGACCGTGAGATGGTGACCTGAGCCAAAACCAAGTGTCTGGAGCTTAAGTGACTGAGCCACCGAGGCATCCCTTCTTTTGAAAAATTTACCAGGGACCATAATCTGAGATGCATGACTTCTTTCAAGAATGGGCAGTATCACTTAAAAATGGTAGTTTAGCCTCAAGTTAGCCATATTTTTCAAGAGGTGAGGAGGAATCAGTAGAGAATAGAAACTGCTCATGCACAAGAACAGAGATGAATCAGGGAGAGGAGGCAGGGGAAATGGAATTTTAAAAAGCCATGCATGAGAAGTTTTTTTTTTCTCTGAGACTCAGCAGGGAAAATAAGTTTGTGGATGATACTGGAATGATGGTTGCAGATCCATGCAAAAATCATTTGCAGATGGAAAAGTGGAAACATTCATAGGCTCCATAAAATGGGAGGAGAGGTTATTTGCTAAGGTGGCATTCAGATTGGGAGCCTCCATCTTGGGCAATATTTGCCTGGACCGAAGCAAAGATGAATACAAAGCTTACTAAGGTGTGGTGATGGGTCCACACTAGTAGAGTCACTCCCCTGCTTGAAAGCTTTCATCAGAATTCTTTTTGAGAATTTATTTTTGAGAGAGGTGGGGGAAGGGCAGAGAGAGAGGGAGACACAGAATCTGAAGCAGGCTCCAGTGTCTGAACTGTCAGCATAGAGCCCCATGTAGAGCTCAAACCCAGGAACTGTGAGAACACGACCTGAGCTGAAGTTGGATGCTTAACTGACTGAGCCACCCAGATGCCCCATCATCAGAATTCTTTGACCAGCACACAAAGTTTTTGTTTTGTTCTGTTTTTCTTTCTTGGTTTGTATTAATTTTGTGATTTGTCATGGAAATGGCTTGGGACAACATCTGGGGACAAATGAAATTACATTAGTTGGCTTTGCATCTTTCTGTTACTTTTCCCTGTGCTTAGATTGGGGTCCCCTCCAACTGTGAGAACCCAACACGATCAATATAGTCAGGAATTCAGTGTGTTGTTTGGCTCAAGTTGGACCCGACATTCATCCCAGTGCCATTTTGTACATGTAAATCAGGAAGGTAATCAGACCTCACTCTACTAATTGCTCTCCCTTACAACACACACTGGCAGTTCTTGCCTTTCTCTATACACTATTCTCTGTGTTCTTTCTGCAGTGCCCTTTGGCTACAGTGACTTCTTCACCTAACAAGTGCCCCCTCCCTCATCTCTCATACTTAAATAAATAGTTTTCATCTGTCAGGACCTTGGCTTCAATTTGACCTCCTTCATAAAGCTGTCTACAGCTATAGCTGTTCTCCCTTTGCCTCTCTGAATAGTGAATTCTGCTCAGTTTAAACCTTTATTTTCATATTTCTCCCAGTTTTCTTAGTTAGACTATACTTTTCTTGGGGAAAGGACCACATATTCTCTTTCTTTTTGATCCATTCATCTTTGTCTGGTACCAGGCATGTATGAAGTCTTAATAAATGCTCATTTATTAAGTTATTTGTAACATATTTTTATTTAATGATTATGAGAGTTAATATTTGAAGTATGTCACTCCCTATGTTTGTGTTTTTATTGTACTGCTACAAATAATGGTTGTCCCAATGAAATATTTCGGTGTTTCAAGACCTCTTAGTAAGATTTATTAACTTAATAATTTAAAATGTTATTTTTAATTTAAATTTTATTTTTCTTCTTCATTTTCATGATTTTGTACATGCTTGGCTGGCCCCAAGTCACGACTCTTAAGGATGTCATGGTAACCTGGCAGAGAGTTCTTGGGTTAAAGCGTTCTTTCCTTCGATCCCTGCAATGTTTTTTCAGCCGTTATGATATGCTTCTTCACCCTTTTTTCCCCTGTAGTTTATCCCCGATGATAAAATCACACATTTTATGCCCTGGATTTTTACTCTTCCTTCTCCCATAGGCACTAAAAAGCAAGGCTATATCTTATATATTTAGCATAAGGAAATACACGGATAATGTTATGTGTAATATCTTTTACTTTTTAACTTAACTCTTTAATTATCAGTAATGCCGTTTATCTTGTAATCTGGTGGTTATTGGGAAATGGTAATCTGCATGACTCTTTCAAACGAAGGAACTTTTTATGGGATAAAAAACCACAAAGGTGGGGCGCCTGGGTGGCTTAGTCGGTTAAGTGTCCGACTTTCGCTTAGGTCATGATCTCGCGGTCCGTGGGTTCGAGCCCCGCGTCAGGCTCTGTGCTGACTGCCGGCTCAGAGCCTGGAGCCTGTTTCAGTCTGTGACTCCCTCTCTCTCTGACCCTCCCTGCTCACGCTGTCTCTCTCTCTCTCTCCTAGAAATAAATAAAAACATTTAAAAAAAAAAACCACAAAGGAAACATTTAAGTACATTTTGTAATTTACTTATTATTTATTTCAGAGTTATCTATGGGATAAAAATGCATACTTGTGCTATGAGCCAGCAATAGCACTGCTAGGAATTTACCCAAGGGATACAGAAATGCTGAGGCATAGGAGCACATGTACCCCAATGTTCATAGCAGCACTCTCCACAATAGCTAAAACATGGAAAGAGCCTAAGTGTCCATCAACAGACGAATGGATCCAGAAGATGTGGTTTATCTATACCATGGAATACTACATGGCAATGAGAAACAATGAAATCTGGCCTCGTGTAGCACCATGGGTGAACCTTGAGGGTGTTATGCTGAGCGAAATAAGTCAGGCAGAGAAGGACAAATATCACATGTTTGCACGTATAGGAGGATTAGGAGGAACTTAACTGAGGACCATGGGGGAGAAGAAGGGGGGAAATGGTGGGGGAGAGGGAGAGAGGCAAACCATGAGAGACTCTTGAATGCTGAGAACAAACTGAAGACTGATGGGTGTGGGGGGGAGGGGGGATGGGCATGGAGGAGGGCACTTGTGGGGATGAGCACTGGGTGTTATATGGAAACCAATTTGACAATAAACTATTTGTAAGAAAACAAAATGCATACTTGTGTTTATTTTAGGAATCAAGCATTTTAAGTCCAGTGCAGGATGGAACAAGGAAACCTCAGATTGACAGCAACAGGGGTAATAACTACCGCATCGTAAAGGAGGTCAGCAGATGTCTACCATTTTTATATGGGCTTATGTTTGCATGGTGAATAATTTTTGCTTGTGTATTATAGTTAATATTTTATCTTTTACATTCAATGCTTTTCTTCTTTTTCAAGATTTTGATTAGACTAAGTAAACTCTGTGTACAGAATAAAAAGTGTCGAAATCAACATCAACGATTACTGAAAAATATGGGAGCCCATTCGGTGGTGTTGGACCTTCTGCAGATACCCTATGAAAAGGTTAGTTCTTTGTTCCTTAAATTTTTTTAATTTTGATATGATCTCCTATCATATACAGCAAAGTTACAAGAAGTTTTTTCCCTGAACTACTTGAAAGTAAGTTGCCGATCTGATCAGCCCTGAGCTCTTTAGTGTGTGCTTCCTACAGAAAGGCCGCTCTTCTTTCTACATAACTACACAACAACTTTCCAGATCAGGAAAGAGCACGACACTTTGCTGCCACTTAATCCTCAGGCACTGGTCACGTTTCTCCCATCATCCGAAATGTGTCCTGTTTGACAAAAAGGTCCACCTGAGAAACAGGTGCTGTTTGGAGCTCCTGTGACATTGACACTTTTGAAGACAGACCAGCTCTTTTGAAGACTGTTCCTTAATTTGGGCGAGCTAATGTTTCCTCGTGATTAGATTCTGTTCCTTTTGGCAGGAACATAACAAGTGAGGCCACGTTCTTCCCAGCACTTCCTATCAGGAGGCACATGATTGTGATTTCGATCCCATTACTGATGGCTTTTACTTTGATCACTTGATTAAGGCGGTGTCTGCCAGGATTCTCCACTGTGAAGTACTCATTTTCCCTTGGCAATTAATAAGTATTTTATGGAAAGGCTCTTTGAAGCTAAGTAAACATACCATTCTTCATCAAACTTTCAATTTATTTATTCACTTATTTATTTCGATCAGTATAAGCTTGTGGATGCCTTTTATTCAGTAGGTTATTCTAGGCCTCTCTAATTATCTATTTGACTCTTAGATTATCCCCAATTTGCCCGGTGGGTCCCCTTTGAGCTAGGTGCTCTGTCCTCCAACATGACACATCATTCTTTGAGTAGTTCCTTGCTTTTTTGCACATTAAAATGTTCCAAGGTCACCTGCATTTTCCTTGTTCCAGCTCTGGAATCAGCCATTTCTTTAAGTAGCCCCACTTGTGTTTGGGGAAGTTTGGTGTTTAGAAGCAAAATTCTGAGAACTAAGTGTACTTACTGCTTTTGGGGTTTTGTCCTTCTAGGCCCTCTAAATAGATAAATCCAGGGGACATATATGTGTATTGAAATAGTTAGCCATATTAATACTCTAGAATAGCTAATCTTCCATCACTGCTACTGCCTTCTGCTCCATGTGGACACTGTCTGCACCTCTCTCAGGCGCACCATCTGTGCCTCTGATCCCCTCTCCCCCCACCCCGAGAGTGGATGTCCCTTTATCTCTCAGATGCCACCATGCCCTGTCAGGCCTCTCCTGATGCAGATGTTCTCCCGACTTGGACTTTCACTCTTTATATAGGCTTGCTCTCCCGTTCAGCTTACTTTTTAACAGCTAGGCTAATAAATTCTATATTCCTGTGGTGGCCTAATTCATTCAATGCATAGAATGCAATACAAGATTTATTGAAAGGCAACAAAAGGTATTAAATCCTCAGCATTTATTATCCAAATTATTTCATCTTTGATATTGTAACATGGGCATTGGACATGTGATTAAGTTTTTTTTTTCTAATAATGTAACTGTAACATTCAGTATTTTACTACTATGTTATGTTTATAGATTGATTTGCTCAGTTTTAAGAACTGACTTGTTCAGAAACAAAAAAAGAATGAGATGAGAGTTTCAAAGCAATGTCAGATACGGTAGTTCTGGCTCTGGTATTCTGTGTTGGCCAGCTTTCAGTGGGAATTGGGGATTCTTGTGGCTGAAATCTCTTTGATGTCTTTCATCTATCCCTGGATTACACAAGTAAAGGAAGTGTTAGTAGATTTTGAATTAAAATTTCCTATTTTTCAGTTAGGAAACAAGAAGAGTCCTTGTTGCATTTATTCTCCAGTTAAGTATGAGGAAATGGGTCTTTTAATGATCTTAGTCTGTTTAGTTAGTTACAAATGGCATAAACTGTAGACTTTTAGATTAGGAAAAACAAAAATGTTGACTTATTTATTAAGGCTACTACTCAAAATATGAGTACATTAGTTTCTCTGACACTGACTACGTGACATATCAGATAATCAACTATCCAGAAAAAATTTAGGTGGTTCCAGTGATATTGTTGAAAGACCACTTTTAAGAAGAGAACTTTGTATTCTTTGTGAATGTCGAGACTTCATTTTTTATTGAGACCCCTGTAAGCGAATGATCGTGTTGTGGGACTTTGGAAAATGACAGTGAATAAAGAAAGCAACTTATGAGTGCATGTGTTCAGAAAGAGGAAGACCCAAAAAGATTGGGGAGGAGGGAGGGTCAGAGAGCAAAGAGAAACAGGAAAATAAAGAGATGGAAATAAGAGACAAAATACACAGCAAAAAGGTGAGGACAGAGAGCAGGGGAGGGGGGAGAGTAGAGTTGAGATGAGATCAGAAATATATATAAAGAGAAATTTACGGGCAGGAATAGAGAAAAAAATGAGTGGAGAGAAGAAAGAGACTAGGGGCAAGGCAAGAGGGTGAGGGATGATGGGTGCTGGGAAAAGCAGTAGGAAGGCAAGAGTTTGAGAAGAAGGAGAATCTAGAAGGTGGGGAAACAGGAGAAAACAAGAAAAAGGAATATCCAAATACATGGAAGTACTGGGAAAGAGAGCACGTCCAAGAGAGGGATGGGAGGGAGTGGGGGTGAAGCAGACAAGGGAGGGAACAGAGGGTAACGGGCCAGAGAGAGAGGAAGGCAGGACAGGTGATCTGTGGTCACAGAGGCAGGGGAGGAAGATACGGCAATGGGCAGACCTGGGCGAATATAGTGGACAGTCAGAAAGGCTGGGGACAAATGGAAACAAAGAAGGGTTGAGAAAGTAGAGCAGAACAGGTAAGAAATAGAAGGAGAAACAAAGAGAAGGTGAGAAATGTCTAGAAGATTGTGGACATGGGGGTGGTAACAGCGAGGTAAGCTGGAGAGGTATAGAACGAGCAAGGGCATGGAGGAGAGGGAACATAAAACAGTGGCAGAGAGGAGAAAAAGTATATGTGGGAAAGGAGGTTCATTTTCACAACTTTTGGTATTATGGTATATTTCTTTCTCCATATCATTGGTACTCTCTCACTTACAGAATGATGAAAAGATGAATGAAGTAATGAATCTGGCCCATACATTCCTGCAGAATTTCTGTAGGGGAAATCCACAGAACCAAGTTCTCCTTCATAAACATCTCAATTTGTTTCTAACTCCTGGTGTAAGTATTTTAGTGACTTCTAATATTTATAGTAAAATGTCCCTCAAATTTGTTTTAGCAGCATTGATGAATGGAATTTTGTTAGCCTTTACCACCTTATTTTTTTCCTCGGAGTTCTCTCCCTAAAGGTGAATATGTTTTATTTCCATTAAGGAAACATTTATGGACACTTGAAATATTACATGAATTTTACCTGAAAGTGACAACTTCCTTTATATTTATACAGTTTAATGTTAGGAAAAATGGTAGAACAAAGATCTAACTGCAATGCCATGAGTGAGATAAATACGGAAAACTCAAAGATAGAGTTAACTCTGTAAAATGTGTGTTGGCAGATATTGGAGAAGAGCTAACTTTGAATAATAGATAATTAATCTCAAGAATACCATTGCCAACATGCTGACCCTTATGATAGTCAACTCTTTTTTCCAACTAAATACCTTTGTGAGCTCAATTTTCTTTTAATGGTGAATGATGTCCTTGCATTTTGCAGAAGACTTGCACAGGAAACCCACTATGGCTTTGCATAAAATAGAAAACTGATCACAAGTGGGGAAATTAGCCCAAGTAGAATAAGAGAGAAAACTGATCATGTCAGACTTACAAGGGTACATTCATCTCTGGTTAGCTCCTCGAAGCAGAAACCATGCGGCACATCTTCATGAACAACTACCATCTCTGCAATGAGATCAGTGAGAGGGTAGTACAGCACTTTGTGCACTGCATTGAGACACATGGCCGTCACGTGGAGTACCTGAGATTTTTGCAAACAATTGTGAAAGCAGATGGCAAATATGTGAAGAAATGCCAGGATATGGTAATGACGGAGGTATGTTCTCAGTTTGCATTTTTTAAAATAATTTATTATCAAACTGGTTTCCATACAACACCCAGTGCTCATCCCAACAAGTGCCCTCTTGAAGGCCCATCACCCATGCCCCCCTTCAGTTTGCATTTTTAAACAGCTTCCCAGAAATAATGGGCTCAAGTAGGTGTTTTCTGTGAATGTTTAGTGTAGAAAACCCCCCACAACAAAGGTTTGGAAAATAATTGAATCCTGATGACTTCAGCAACAAATATATTTTGTTTAAATCTAGTGAAGGAAGATAATGTATGCTGATTTTATAATTTTCCAAGAGTTTATTTTTCTTTTTTATCCTTAATGAATTTATGTATTTTAAATGGAAAAATTGTATGAAATGTTATAATTTAGAAGGAAAGTGACACTTTTATATTTAAAATTTTTTTCAGTATGTAACAAAAATGGTTTAAACTCTGCTTTCCCACTGCCTTTGATACCTTCTTCCTGAAATATAGAATAGTTATTCTCTGCCACCATTTGTAGAAGCGTTTGAAGGGAATTAAATTAATTAATAGAAATTATCCATCAGTGATTTATTATAGGTAAGACTATAGTTATTTAGAGTAAGTTGAAAATTTAAAAAACTCAGATGGTTGAAGTACCTCATTTATTTTGCCCTCTTCATTGTGATGCTTGACATTGAGCGAGATTGATGCAATGAATAAGTTACTCATCAGGAACCAAGTGGCACTTTGGAGAAATTGAGCCCATTTGGGTAAATCATTGCTCTGGGCCCAATGGTTCTCTAAAGGCCTATATGAATTAAGGCTGCTTTCAACCATGGCTACTAAACAGTTATGTAATAAATTATATCCATATGAGGGGATTTTCATAATAATATACTGTAAATTTGGGAAAGGGGGGAGACTTCTATACTGATACAATGTGAGTCCCTCCTGCCCCATAGAAATCTTAAAATTAATTCAGCCTGAAGCCTTGAATTTTTTAATATTTATTTTTTTATTTTGAGAGAGAGAGGGTGTGGGAAAGGGCAGAGAGAGAGGGAGACACCAGTCCAAAGCAGTCTCCAGGCTCTGAGCTGTCAGCACACAGCCTGATTCGGGACTCAAACACATGAACTGGGAGATCATGACTTGAGCTGAAGTCGGATGCTTAACCGACTGAGTCACCCAGGCACCCCCAAAGTACTTGTTTTTTCATTCCGTCACTGTTGAAGCAGGTAAGGATATTTTATTCTGTTTTAGTAAAATTAGCCTTATGAGATTTCTCATGTCTTGGCGATGGAATCTTCTATGTGAAGTAGAGGAAAGTAACTTTATTCAAATATTTTCCAGGTTTAATTGCAGTGGGTAACTCACTGGTGAATGATTAAACTGTCATCTGTGTCATTTAATTCTTGTCCCCCTCCATCCTTCCCATATCTACCAGGCTGGTTCTGAGAGTATTCATAAATAATCTCTTGGCATATGACTAGAATCTTTTTACCACCCTGCATTGGTACAGTTCTGCTTTGCGATATTATCTGTGTTTTTACGAAGAGATGCATGTGTTTCCAGATAGACCAAGCCTTTAGAAATAACTGCACAGATGAACATTTGGACTGCTATGTAGATTCTCTTATTATCATTTCAGTTGATAAATGGGGGTGAAGATGTGCTGATATTTTACAATGATAGAGCATCATTTCCCATCCTTCTCCATATGATGTGTTCAGAGAGAGACCGAGGGGATGAGAGTGGCCCCTTAGCTTACCACATCACCCTGGTGGAGTTGCTGGCAGCGTGCACAGAGGGGAAAAATGTCTACACTGAAATCAAGTGCAATTCCCTTCTGCCCTTGGACGACATAGTGAGGGTGGTGACCCATGATGACTGCATCCCTGAGGTGAGCCTGGCAGAAGCTTAGCAGCCACAGAATTGTTATTAATATAAAGTGCATAAGTGCCGAAGTCCCCATACTGTTCATAATGAGATCATGTATTTAGTTAAGAAATTGTACTTAGGTATGTAATTAGAAAAATTTAAAAGGGCATAGAAAGTTTACTTTTTTAGTTCCACAAGAAGCTATAAGATGATACATATTTCAAAGTAGAGACACTGTTGGTTTACTGGAAGCTACTATAGGAGTCTCTTGACTTCTAAATATGTCAATGTGGTAAAACAGAGATTTACTTGTAACCTGTGGTATGTTCTTGAGAACGTAAGAGATGCTCCATAAATAATTCACGGTTATCAATAGGAGAGGCTAGGATGGTGCGGCAGTATCATCTATTAGACTCTATAGGTTCACCTTGCTTTATGGAATCAATGCACTCATGGAAATATGGACATGCATTTTGCTTTATTCACACATCATGTTTTGTTGTCTGTCCTTATTTGGCTGATAATAAGGAAAAAACTCATTAAAAACTGGTTGTCTGCCAACAGGATTAATGAAGCTTCCAGGAATGTATATTGGAATAATTTCTTTCTTTTCTCCTGTTGTGCTGTGTTGTTGCAAAGTTCATTAATGCGTGATGCATCGAATATGATCTAAATTCAAACATTTTAAATCATAGTAACTTAAGAATGTGTCAGGTTACCGTCCCTGCTTCCAACTAGTCCTATGTAGTTATGAACTTAAAAATACATTCTTGTGAAATTTTGTGGAATTATTGACACTTCATTCCAAGGGTACTTCATGCTTTGATTGATTTGAAATAAGATGGCAAAGAAAGAAAGCACAGTGTAGTGAGTAAATTCATAGGTTCTGTCTTTCTTTGAGGTCCTGGTTTCTGACTGTGCTTCTTCTAGTGTGCAGTTCTTTCTGACCACACCACTCGGACCTCTTACGTTTACCTCCCTCCCTCCTCTTCATCCTTCTTATCTTGATTCAAGCATTAGTTCTTTATTTTTTTTTAATGTTTTATTTATTTCTGAGAGAGAGAGAGACAGTGTGAGCAGGGGAGGGTCAGAGAGAGAGGGAGATACAGGATCTGAAGCAGGCTGCAGGCTCTGAGCTGACTGTCAGCACAGAGCCCAACGACGGACTCAAACCCATAAACCGTGAGATCGTGACCTGAGCCGACGTTGAACGTTCAACCAACTGAGCCCCAGGCGCCCCAAGCATTACTTCTTTAAGGAACACTTCCCTGACCTCCCATAGTAGAGTCTATGAGTCTACAATTTGAAATTTAGCATTTGGGTTTTGTTAAAACATGTCCATAGCCTTCACATCCTTTCTCAAAATTATAAGCTTGATGAGAATAGCAATGAGGCTGTTCCTATTTACCATTGTATTTGCCTGAACCTAAGTCTATACTTAATAAATATATTTTGAAGGGCTCCTGGGTGGCTCAGTTGGTTGAGCATCCGACTCTTGATTTTGGCTCAGGTTATGATCTTCAGTTTGTGAGATGGGGCCCCACGAAGGGCTCAGTGCTGACAGTGCAGAGCCTGCTTGAGACTCTCCTCTCTCTCTCTCTCTGCTCCTCCCCAGCTTATGCACGCATGATCTTTCTGTCTCTCAAAGTAAATAAATGAACATATAAAAAGTATATGTTTTGAGTGAATGAATGAATGAATGAATTAAAGAATGAGTCAGAATCCTGGATCCATTATTTCTAGCTGTGTGACTGATTCCAAGAGGTTACTTAACCTTTCTGATCTTCAATTTCTACAACTTTATTTTATTTAGTCTTGTTTATTTTAAAGTGTTATTTATTTAAGTAATCTCTACAACCCTACATGGGGCTCGAACTCATGACCCTGAGATCAAGAGTCACATGCTCTTCTGACTGAGCCAGCCAGGTGTCCAAATTTCCACAGTTTTTAAGTGCAACAATTATAGTATGTATCTGAGAGGATTGGGGGGAGGGACTAAATAAAGTAAGATATCACTTCCTTACAAAATACTGGAGGTGTTTGGCATGCAGCAAACAACGGATAAATATAAGCTGCTGTCAGGATGTTGTGAAAAGGTACTGAATGGTTCTGCTGTCTCCCTTTCCTGTGATCAGTTCTTGACACAAGCCCCCTGTCACTGAAGGTTTGTTTTTGACCAGCGTCAAGTAGAGATAAGCACTGAAGGCATGGCCCTGTATTCCTTATGCTTCTAACTTAGAGTCCATGAATCCTTGAAATTGTTTACATGATTTTGCATGTATATGCATTTTGGGGGGAGGTTTATAGCATATATCACATTTTCATCAAAAAGACAAGAAAAGACAAGAAAAGAAAAGAAAAACTGCAGCCCTACACTCTTTAGAATCATCATATGTTGATGAGATTCAGTCCTTTTGTTAAATATGGTAGGGAATTTTACTACATCTTAAAATAATATATATTTTTTGGAAACTGTGAGCTTGTTTCTTCTCAGAAATAGTAATTTAAATATTTCTGAAATGGCAAAATATTATTTAATGAATACATTTAAACATTATATTAGAACTCTTTTGGTTGCAAAATATAGAAACCTAACTTAAACTGTTTAATTAAAAAAAAGGGAATTTTATTTGTATTTGGAAATTTAAAGGATAGTTCTTCTGATGGGTCAAAATATTCAAACAATGTCAGAATTCTTTCCATCTCTTGGTCCCTCTTCCTTTGTGGTTTTGTATCATTCTCTTCTGAGTTTACTTGTCCTCCGCATGTGTGGAGAACATGGCTTCTTGGAGTTCAGGTTTACCTTGTTCTACTTTAGTCATGAGAGAGAGAGAGAAAGAGAGAGAGAGAGAATGTCAGAGAGGGAGAGAGAGAGAATGACAGAGATGAAAGAGAGAGAAAGAGACAGAGAGAGAGGGGGGAGGAGGGAGAGGAAGGAAAACAGGGAAAGGGAGCATATTTGACTCTCAGTGTCTCAGATATGATAGACTTGGGTTAAATCATGTGTACTTTTTCACACCAATCACTGGGCCCAGGGGAACAGGTTCCTAGGTCATATGTTTACCCTGGGTCAGGGGCTGGAGTGTTTTAGGAAAAGAGGGAAAATGGGAATGCTTTCTAGGTAGACACAATACATGCTGTAATCCACGATAGTCACTAAGATAGATTTTATTTACCTTTTTGTAATTGACAGTTGAAAATGAACAATCAAGAAAACTCACTTTCTTTGTATTTGAAACTTACACAGGTTAAAATTGCTTATGTGAATTTTGTTAATCACTGTTACGTGGACACAGAAGTGGAAATGAAAGAAATCTACACAAGTAACCACATTTGGAAATTATTTGAGAACTTCTTGGTGGATATGGCAAGGGTGAGTTACACTTTCACCATTAAATACTACTGCATGTTTACTTAGGCTATTGATATATATTTTGATGAGATGGTATCAAAGATCTGGATGAAACTTTGGAACTAAGCCTGCCAAGTTTGGATGAAATCCATTACATTAAAAAAGTTGTGAATGAGGGGCGCCTGGGCGGCTTAGTCGGTTAAGCGTCCGACTTTCGCTTAGGTCATGATCTCGCGGTTCGTGGGTTCGAGCCCCGCATCGGGCCTGGAGCCTGTTTCAGTCTGTGACTCCCTCTCTCTCTGACCCTCCCCTGCTCACGCTGTCTCTCTCTCTTTCTCTCTCCTAGAAATAAATAAAACATTAAAAAAAAAAGTTGCGAATGTGTTTCACAAGGTTGTGAGATTTAATGAATTCAAATACACAGAATACCCAGCATAGTGTGTGTCTATAAACAAAGTATTAATTTTTACTTTTCCAGCTGACTATATTGGTTTGTTATTAAATGGAATTTTAGTGGCATTTTTACATTGGTTAGGGAAGATATTGGCAGAGGTCAATTTGTATTCATCCTCTTAACATGGAGGCAATTATGAACCATAGACGGAAGAGATCTCAGGAAGCCTTGACCAATGCTTTCAGACAGATAGGTACTTGACCAGACTACCCAGGGCTTAGCATTGCTCAGTGTTGCCTACTCAGAGTTTTCTTTGGGAGAGTGCTCCCGTAATTGAATCATCTGGTATTTTCACTCATCAGTCAAAATATATCTTGCTTTTTACTGAGTCCATTTCCTCTTGTTTGGCTTTTGGTGGGGATTGGAGAGGACATGTGGACTGGTTGGCATTTTCTAGATCTTGTCCAGCACAGATTTTCAAGTAAAATTGAGTAAATGAATGGACAAATGAAGAAAGGAAGGACGGAATCTTCTTTATAGGCAGCACTTAATTTTATTTAGTCTATCTTAGCAGCCTCCCGCCCTCCTCCCACCTCTGGCATGTTGAATTATCAAAACATACAGGTTCTATAATGTTGTTTTTTTTAATCTTCTCAAGTTTTCCTTTGAGGTCATGGGATATAGTTCAAATAAGAGTTTTACTAACAGAAAATAACATATAGATAATCTCTAAAACTATGATGATTTACAGTGGGCTGGCCCAGTGTTTCGGCGCTCCATTCCTGAATGCTTTATGTAGGCCACATTTAGATACATTTAGAGGAGAGGGATTCGTGAGGTCCATATTTCCATTATAAGAATGGATGCTGACTGTTACCCACTAGCTAACTGCCTCCCTATAACCCTTTCTGGAAGGAGGGAAGACAAAGGGGGCAAAATAAAACATTGACTGCAGACTCAGATATCTGAGGGGAATCTTGGAAAATAAAATAAACCATGTATTATTCCAGTCCAGGAACTATTTCACTTAGTCAGAGTTTGCGGGTGAAGTGTGCTTATTTTACCTTGGACGTGGTATGGTATGAGCCAGCCTTACTATGTTCAAGCATGTGTGGAGTAAGGCAGTTCTGATTTTACTTCATTTCTATAGAATGGAAAGCCACCCATTACCTTTGTCAGGTAAGCCAGCAGCTGTGGAGAAATCATCTTGTTTTACACAAGACTTTCGTACCACTCATATTTACCCCTGTGTCCTTGTGACAGCCCCTGTGTCTGGTCGGCTGCAGGTTATCTCTAGAGACCTTGAAGTAAAGGATGGTTTGTATGCCGATGACTGAGCTTTAAAACTGCACGTGCAGGAAGGTATTAAAGAGATTACAGACTGATTTGCAGAGCTGCACAGTGCCATGGACTAAAGATAAGCTTGAAAAGACCAAGGTCACATTCTAGGCAGCATGAACTGCAAAGCTGAAAGGATTTTTATTTTTTAAACCATAGAAGCTGATGGTAACTGCCGCTGCTTATGCCACCTTGGAAGCACCCTTTCCATCGATGTATTCATAAGGCTAAGACGTACCTATTCTTTATTTGTTTGTTATTTTCAAAGCATGCCTGCTAGGAAAAGTTTTTAACTATTTTGACCAAGTAGACAATTAATGTGATTTGTTATAAAGCCTTGAAGGGGGTTTTGAGATCTTTTTAGTCTATTCACTCATTATGTCTGACCACAACAGCTTAGCTATATTGCAAAAAACATTGTTTTTATTACCCTCTTGTTTTCCTCTTATTTATATTTTAAAACAGCAGCTCTCTTATCCCCTCACCAAGAATGCAAAGAATCAGCCTTTCTATTTCAGGGAAGGAATAGGAAACCTGACTTTTCCATAAACGGGCTCTGTCTTTGTCCCCTTGAAGAAAAATTAAAAAGCCATTTCATACTCGAATTCAAACACAAAACATGTTTAAATAAGGAGAATGTAGCCTTCTAGGCAAATTCCCATTTGAGTAGATCAGTAGTTCTCAAACTTCAGTGAGCATCAGAATCATCTGGAGGGTTTGTTGAAGCACAGATTACTGAGCCCTACCCCAGAGTTCCTGATTCAGCAGATGTGAGTCTGCATTTTTAACACGTTCCCAGGTGATGCTGAAGCTGCTGGTCCAGGGACCACACTTTGGGAACCACTGCAGTAGAACATAGTAGTGTAAGAGCAGGTACTTTAGAGACCTTAGGGAGACCAGAGTTCAAGTCCAGATTCTGCCTCTTCCTAGCTTAGTTCCCTTGAGCAAAGTAATTACTTCTCTGACTCTGAGTTTCCTTATTTGTAAAATGGATACAATAACACATTCCTCATTGGGTTACCAGGAGGACTCAATATGATAATGTGTATAAAGCTCTTAGCACATGTGTGGCACTTACTAAGAGAGCTGGTAACATCATCTATTTCATCCAAATCATGGTAACATCACTGCTATCATTATAAGGTTATATGTAGCCTTTAAAGCAATTAGAACAAGCTTCCTCAATACCTACGCTAAATAATAATGTTGAGAGTAAATAATGTTGAGGATGACCAAGAGGAAGACCATCCAGTATAGGCAAAAGCCAGAAACCATGCCTGCAAAACAGGACACATAAAATAATGACTTGACATAGAGATGGGCTAAATTCACATGTTCCCAAAAAGTGATGAAGTCCTAGAGCAGCAGATTGACATCAGTGAAAAATGGTGGAGGTAATCTGGAAGGAAAGTATATGGCAGATTGGACCTAAAGAATCATAGGATCTTAAGGTTGGAAGAGACTGGCAGTCATGTAGTTCACAGTCTTCAGTACCTGCCCGTGTATTTCAAGTAACAGTGTTCTCACTATTTTTTTTTTTTTGAGACAACTGGTTTCACTATTGTGTAACTTTAATTGTTAAAATTAATAAGATTAATTTGCTGGCATAGAGTGAGTTGCCTCACTAGGAGCAAGAGCTGGGGAGTCTGCTGGGGCCTAATCCAGTGCTTTTTCCATAACATCTCCTCAGATTTGTTATGACAGCTCATGTCTTTCAGTGGTACCTCTTCTGATATGGTTTCTGGGCTCCTTACTGTTTTCAGTATGCTTTTGGGTTGTCTCTAATCGTCAGTGTTTTAAAAGTATGACATTTGGGCTGGAACTCAGTGTTTCAGCCAGGGTCCGGCCAGCACGAGGCAGATGATTATTTTAGTAGGGATTATTATATTGGAGATTATTTTATTGGAGAACAATCTTATTTAAAAGGCAAATGAAATGAAATATTAGTATGAAGAGGCATTCATACCACCTGCCACCTTTCTCTTCATGTTTCTCTTGAGTCATTTCTACCAGTTTCTTTTTGTTTGCTCTTGGGTAAATCTCTCTAAAGAGTCTTCTTTTTAAAAAATATTTGTTTGTTTGTTTGTTTATTTCAGAGACAGAGGGAGAAAGAGAGAACAGGGGAGATGGGCTGGGGGAGAGAGAGAGGATCTTAAGCAGGCTCCATGCTTAGCATGGAACTTAACACGGGGCTAGATTCCTTGACTCTGGGATCATGACCTGGGCCCATATAAAGAGTTGGATGCTCAACTGACTGAGCCACCCAGGCTCCCCTAAAGAGTCTTTATAAGTGTCTTTCATATTCTTGTATTCTTGACACCCTTGTCTTTTATCTGCTAAGACCCATGTAAGAAAATCTTTCTGAAAGACTGTTTTGAATAAACCCGTGCTCGGTTTCACATACTTAATCCCATTCTGATTTCCTGACAGACAGCATCTGTGTTCTGTAAATACACCATATTTAGGCAGGCAGCAAGGGTATTAGACTCATGAAAAGCTGTTCCACTGTCTTTCAGAGCATGTAATAGAAGCTCACTTTGGTCTATGTTCCAATCTGGCTAAAATTGGTATTCATAGGGCAGAAATGCTTTCCTTTGCTGAGTCAGGGATTTGGGTCATTATTAGAAAGCACCTGAAGAAGAGTGGACAGTGGTCAATGTTAGCTTCAGACTGTATTTTTTGTTTTGAAGAAGTTTCCAATTGTACTATCAATTTCAAGATTTTTCTAATGACCAGCAGTACTCTTAAGTGATAAATTGGCAGAATGAAATTAGACCAAGAGATAACTTAGAGGTGCACCTAACACAGTATCATGTCATTGTTCCATTAATCACTGCTTAACAGAACAAATTGGAGTATTTTATTTTCAAATAGTGAGCCATTTCTGCCCTTTATTTAGCTTACCAAATATGTCAGAAGTAGGAGTATAGGTGAAATTTATATGCACTTTGAACCGCACTTTCCAAATTCTTTAATTTGATAGAATTAAGTTTTCTTTGCTTGATGATTTGATTCTAGAAATTTCTTGACTTTCTTAAATTAAAGGAGCCATTGACAAGTCTTATTTTAAAGGGTTCCTTTTATATGGACTTATTAGCTAGCATTGCAGGGAAGTGAAGAGTGAAGGACTCTATAAACCTTATCCTTTGTGCGGCACTTTTCCTTCATTTGTAATTCTATTTTTCTCCTCAACTTTCTGGCCAGGTTATATTGGTGGTGTCCACATGGAATGAATACTTGTTTGGCTATTCTTGATTATGCTTGTTTGGTCCCTGTGTTGCATCCTACT